TATCCTTCTAAAAACTGACGGATAAGGGTTGTTACCCGTGACATATTTATAGTATCCGGATATACGGTTAACCGTGCGAATGTCCGGATATGCGGTTAACGGGTCCAAACTCTAATTGTACGGTTATATTTGGCATACCATTAGAAATCTGGCACGCCAAATTTTTTTATTTAATACGCTATTTTGTACAGTTATATTTGGCATACCATTAGAAATCTGGCACGCCAAATTTTTTATTTAATACGCTATTTTGTACAGTACATTATTATTTGAATATTAAGTTGTCTCCTAATATTTTAAACTATATCAATAGCCTAGCGTCACATTCTAACTCCGTGGGTTTGTATGACAATTATTTTGTATGATATTACGTTATCTATATATTTTCTTTTATTATATTTGAGCAGAATTAAACCTAATTTTTCCCGATCTTTTTATAACCTTTTAATGTTTGAAGAGTCGCCGTTCGTTATTTATTTAAAACAAAAGAAATACTAAAAATTAAAAGCAATATTGAAATTTGAAAAATACCTTATAATCGTAAAATAATGCACATGAGCATTATTTAGAATAATGGCCCGAATTAGGCTTAATTTAGGCAAAAATTGACATTACTCCCCTGCGCATTATTTAACGACTATACGATAATTATAGGTCTTATTTCGATGCGTCATTTGATTTTAATAGATTGTAAATAATCTATCTCCTATATCGGCTAATTTTATAATTAGAATCCTTCAATTAATATAAGAAAGCGATGTTGAGGCAGGATACTGGCAGAATACTTAAGTAATCGAATTGAGAAAAAAATATTACCGTATTCCTGCGACATGTGTACCCGGGTACTCATATGGGGAATATACTGTATGAATACTTTATGTTTTTAATATGTTTTACTATTACATGCCCGGGTTTATAAGTATGATGCCCTCACGCTTATATCATACCCGGAGTACACATATCGAAAAAAACATGGAATTTTTAATAAAAAAATTTTTTGGTTATTCGAACGTAAGTTATATTCTGTAAATTGCTTCTAACCTATATCGGAATCAAATTTGAGTTCGGTCAATCGATCTTTGGAACGGTACTAGGACAATTTTTAATGGCTTTCATGCGTACGAAAATTAAGTTAAATTTTCGATAATTTTACATCGAGAAGATTGACATCAATTTCTAATAATTTGAAGTTCGTGAAATGTTTGTCAACTTATTTTTGTGACAAATAATCAGTCATGGAATTTGTATTTTGTAGCATTGACAAGATTAAAAATTTAGTTTAAACCAGTTCCCAAGACTTCATTAATACTTGGCATGCATGGACAACTCTCTGCCAAGATTGAGGATACATTTTTCGATTGCATCGTTAATGTGCTACCAGTGACCTCTTGGTTAATACTATAGTGTTATTACTGAAAAAATGCTAGCACGTCCATGGATATCCATATTTAAGAGTATATTTAGAGCATATTTATTAGAGAAGTCATTTATTGTTATATCAAATCAGATTGTTATAAGGACAGAATGTAAAATTTTAGTATAGCAGATATGAAATTTTGATTTCAGAAAACTTTGACAAAATTACATCTCAAATTGCAGCGTAAAGTATTTACTATCGTCATACGGTGTAAAGACTGCATAATACGATTACAGCTCATCAACTGAAACAGTTCAGTGTCCGCTTGATCAGTGGTTTAGCTAGTAAAACATAATCATGACTCAACAACAACCAGTCCAGGGACCCGTAAAAATTTGGATTTTATTTATAGGAATTGAAATTCATATAAATAAAATCCAAATTTTTACGGGTCCCTGAACCAGTCCAATAGCTAATGATTTGGCTCACATTTAGAAAAAGCACGACATTTAGTTTAATAACAAGTTTGCATTGTATAGGTGAAATTACGGTAAAAAAAATGGATTCCTTTGTGAAGGCAGTAGGAATTGAAAATTGAGATCATGATTCAAAGATAAAAGCTCTACAACTGCGTAGTAGCATAAAGATCTCTTTGGATAAGATCACATTAAAGGCAAAGTAGCATAATGACCGATTTATCAGGTAGCAAATGTCGATTATCTTTTTATGAAATGAACTTTATACAGTATGATTCTTTCATAGTAAAGAATTGATAATATTTTAGAAGCTTAAAATTTCGATAATAACATCCAATTTTGATATCTAGTTATGCTTTATTTGAGCAAAAAACTAATGATGATAAATCTGTAACTTTCCCTAGGATAATAATTAAGAATTGAATTTATAATTGACCCAATAAATAATATTATAACATCTCATCATTCCTATTTCGTATTTACTTCGGATATTTACAAATTAACGAGTGACGAGTACATGCGGTAATTATAATACGACAGTAAATCCGTTATGGTCATCACATAATCCAACGCAGATTTCACCTAATCCGATCTACGTAGCAGATTTTGCTAGCTCGCAACTCAGGTTTCACTTTATACTATTATAATCAAAGTTTAATGAGCATACAATGTATAATAAAAGAAAAAACCAAATACAGCTGAAAATAAGGCTCAAGATCGATTAAAGATTGGTCAAAATTTGGTTAAATATTATAATCAATCTTAATTCCAAGAAAAATTTTATAATATTAATCGGAATTAAAATTTCTTTTCATTGAGGATATCATCACTAATTTTACACGATAAAATCAATCAATTAAATCAAATCTGTACCCACTAAAATTTAATAAACAATGAAGTTTGTTAAATTAACTGTTAAGTAGGGTTCTGTTTACGTAAATAGAGGATCAAATTTTTCATTTACGAAATTAATCATTACAAAGTTTAATCATCAACCTGTTAGTAATAAATAAACAATTATTTAATGCTGAAAAAATTAATGGAAGTCGTCATCTGTAAAAAATAGAGTTTTACGATGTGTAGTATTCTTCTAAATAATAATAATAAAAAATTATAATAATGAGTTTTATTATATTAGTAAATAAAACACGTAATTATAAATTGAAAATTTAAAACCCGAATTTTTACCTAGCCTTCGGAAATTTCGCTACTCGTAAATTCATAATTTGGTCTCTTCCTTGCTCTTATCTTCCAACGCTTCCTTTTTCTCAAGCTTATCAACTTTTACGTCTTCTTTATTTGCATCCTCTTTATTTGCATCCTCTTTATTTGCATCTTTTTTATCTTCATCAACTTTATCTGTAGTAGATTTTTCTACTTCGCTGATATCGACTTTTTTAATAAATTCTGCAGCCAAAGCGTCAACATCGCTAACTTCAACCTTCTTTTCTTCGGTCAATTCTTTATTCTCTTCTTTCAATTTTTCATGACCTTCCTTATGAAGTTTTTCTAACTCTTCCTAAAGTCGTAGCAAATATAAATTAATAAAATATAAATGTGACATAATAATAAAGTTAAAGATTATATATTACCTTCCATCCTAACAATTCAGCTAATTCTAATACACCATCATCACAGCTGCCTCCATAAAATATATCTCTCCGAACGTCTGAAAAACTTCCATTAAAATCAAATCCCATGCCTGGAGTATACTTTATAGAATTAATTTGATAAAAGTATTGAACAAATTAAATAAGTATTAAGGCGACATTTCATATAAAATAAATGGAACATATATGTATACTCACGCATGCAACTTTTTCTCGGTTGATCAATAATCTTGGAGTCTTTGAGCTTACATAGTCAATCAATAAAGAAAATGGTTGAACTTGTAGAGATGTACCAGCAACTATAAGAAGGTCACATTTATTAAAATCCTATTATCAAAATCAATAAATAGTTAGTAATAAAACCTAATATTAAAAGTCACGAACAATTTAAAAGATAATTTACGGGTAAATGCAAGAAAAATTTTTCAGGCAAACTTTCTCCAAAGAACGTAATACAAGGTTTAACAATTCCTTTACATCCCAAACATTTGGGTATTACTCCGCTAAAAATAGTTTCTTTCATCCACTTAGGTTCAACCATTTTTTTGCATTTGAGACATTGTGACTTTGAAAAAGAACCATGAGCTTCAACTACAACTTCTTCAGGTAGTCCCGCAATTTGTTCCAATGTATCAATATTTTGAGTGAAGCAACGGAGTAAAACTTTTTTTTGATGGAGGAGTTTTATGAAATAATGTGTTAATGTAGGCTATTTAAAAGAAAATAATAATAATTAATTAATTAAGATGCCTTTTTAATAATAATAATAATAATAATAATAGATTATGCAAAGAGAATATTAAGTTCATTTACCAGGAATTTTGAAGGATATAATTCTCTTGCTAATTCAAAAAATGGTTCAGGATTTTTCTATAATAAACCCAATTATCATAAGTATCATTTTATATCGATATTATTTTAATTTATAATCAATCACCTTAAAATATTGAATTTCAAAGATAGATTCAGGTCGAGGTAAATTATATTTAGAAAGATTGTCATAAAGACCAGTTCCAGGAGAACGAAAGTCGGGAATTCCTACAATATCAAAAACATTTTATACCTCCATTTTATTATTTCGATACTATTTTATCAATATAGTATATAACGAGTATTTTCAACAAGATTCGAACCTGCTGCAGTAGAAATTCCAGCACCAGCCATAAAAACAATGTTCTTCGCTATTCGGAGAAAGTAAATAAATAAGTGATTATGGATAAAGAACATGATCGTTGATTTAAAAACAATTTTTTCGACATACATACCTTTACCAGATTTAATTAATTTTGCAATCGTTTTAAGATAAAGTTCTTCACGATTAGCATTATCTTTTACATTTTTGTGGGCCTTTTATAAAATAATAAATTTATCCTTCGTTTTTATAAGCTTTGATGTAACAAATTTAGAAAAACAATTACTTCTGAACTAGAATCATCCTTGAACTCATTTTTTTTCGACATTTTTGATCAAACTTTATAAAGAATTTATCAAAATATAAAGTCCGGAAGCCATCGGAGCAAAGCACCAATTCTCCTTTATATGCACGTACGTACGTACATACGTAAATGGAAAATGTGTTACCCTAACAGATCACATGGCTTCTCATTTAGCCAAAAATTCAAAAGCGCAACATTTAGTACCTGATAGCTTAGATAAGCAATTGCAGGAGAAATTAGTCTTTCACCTACTCACTTATCTTAGTATGGTATAATGTCATTGTAATACGTACTAGAAGATAGTGAATTATAGAGACTTATTTTTAATAAAGGGTGCAATCTTGGAAACCTGCTTAAATACCGGGCCAGAATTCACCAGGCTGGCTGGGCCGGAATTAAAAATTTGACCTAACGCTAAGTTCATTTATATTTTATTTGCCGCGGAAACGAATATAATTTTAACTAGATTAGAAACGATAAACAATTATGATGCGGATGAAGTAATGAAAATTTTTATAAAACTTGTGAAATTGGTATATTGATCTAAAGTATGAGATGAAATGACGTGTCGACAATTTAGATTTAAGATTTTGCGTTTCCCTCTTTTGTATACAATACATTTCGTGATTCATCCCGTTCTGATATGAAATAATAGCTCATTTATTACTTATAAATATAGTCTGTTGTAAATTAAAAGCCAAAGTTTTGGCTTTTTTTTTTATAAATACAACCTGAGTTCAATAAAATTTTTTGAAATACATGTATAGATAGGTTCGAGTATTTAGCTCAGATAGCTTGAAACAGATTATATAAAATTTTTTGATAAAAAGAAATGTAGTATAATTTGTAGCATACTAATTAAAAAAAAATTAAAAAAAGTTAACATTTTAAATTTACAGATTTCTTATATTCAAATTTTTAATTTCAAGTATTTTGAGATATACTAGGATAATTTGATGAGCTAACTACTAAAAATTTAAAAAAAAACAAGCTTTACAATTTTTAAAAAGTTTACTTGCTAGTTTTTAAAATTATTGATTATAGTTAGAGTTATCAAGGTTTATTAAAAGGGCTTTTTTTTCATAATACAGTATAGAAAGAACAAGCTATTACAAAAGTAACATAATATAATGATATAAATATCAGATATAGAATAGGCTAGTATAATTTTTTATAACTATACAACAACATAGTATTATATCTCCATATTCTCTATTTATAACTAATTTAAACATTGTTTTGCCCACTTTGACACAATTAAGTGTAGGTTCAGTTTAGAAAAGAGTAGAGAAAGATTTTGTCACAATTAAGTTTATATTATCATTATTATTCTAAATATTATTAAAAAATAGAAAATTTTGTAATAACTCTAGTAAACATAGCAAAATACTAACAGAGATACGTAGTAACCCTCTTATTTTTACTATTTAAGATTTTATTTTATTTTATTACTACAGTTTTAAATTTTTATATTACAATTTTCTTGATTCACATATATAAATTCATTCTTATGAAAATTTATTACTTTATTATGTCAAAATAATAGACTTTTACTAAAACGCACCTATGATGTTTTACACCTATGTATATATTATCTTAAAAACTGGCTAATTGACCAGTGCAAGATGCCCTAAGTAAAAATGCTCTACGTAAAAATTTTTATATTCAAAACTTAGAAAAATTTAAAAAACGTAATAAACCATATGATAGTTGCAAAACCACCATAGGTGCGTTTTATAATAAATGAAATAAAAATTCAATTGCTATTAATGATTGTTTAACTTCTTCAATTAATAAAAATTCTAATTCTGGTGGTCAGCCTTGTGCAGAAACATATGGGATGCCTATAATGTTGATAAAAAATTGAAAAAAACCTATTCTATTCAATGCAAAGATTCTTCTTAAACATTGGCAAAAAGAAGCACCGATAATGGAATCACACTAATGATAAATTAGCATAAATGACATATCGATGATGATATAATATTTCCATTTCTGTTTTACTTCAATAAATTCTAATAGCTTTATGATTTCTAAAACAAAACTAAATATCGAAGACATAGCAGACCTTACTTTATCTTTTTTCTTAATTTAATAACGCAATCGTATTGTGAAAAAAATTTAGACACAATCTAAGCCTACATCAAGCAAAGGTCGTGGAGATATGGACTTTGAAACATCAAATATTGTTGACGAGGTCTTAAAGATTGAGAACGATAATAATTTGTTTCAAAAGAAATTTACAATAAACGCTAGGTGCTAATATTAACTAATATAAAAAAAACAATGCTCAAATAAATTTTTTACAATATGTTAATTTTCGAAAGTGTTATTGGTTTATTGATAATTACACGTTTTAACCTAAGTTTCATAAATATAAATGGCATTAACCTATTACGTGGCTAGTTATGTTTTTTATCAAATTTTATCATGAGTATTGTCAGCATCTCTAATATGAAACTGACTTTGAATCAACTGAACCTCATTTAATTTTAATTTTTATCTGTATCATATACAAATCTAAAGATAATGTTAAACAAAATTCTAAATTCAAACAGCTTTAATTCTGTTTTTACTTTATTTTATAAAATTTTTTATTAAATTCTTTAAATTGACAGTCTTGTAAAGTTACTATAATAAGTCAATTATTAAACTATACTAATAAGTTATATTTATCTTGTAAAATTGTTTATAGTACTTTAATAAACTTTAATGGTTCACACCATTAGATGTAATTTTTGATCTATTCTTTTCATTTTGGAATCCAAGAACAGTTTCAATTACATCAATCATAATTTCTGAACTCAAATCTGTACCCTTATCTTGCGCCAACTTTCGTGCGATGTGAATAACATTACGAATCTCACGGCCATTCAACTCATAATTAACAAAGTCATCTGCCTTGAAAGGAAGATTGCCACGTCTTATGAAATTAGCCCATGTTCCAAGTCTTTCTTTTTCATTGAGTTTTGGATAATGGAAGAACATGCTAACTCGTGAACAGATAGCGTCATCAAAATTTGTAACTCGATTTGTTGTCAAAAAGAGGACTCCTAAAAAGTGGAAGAACAAATAAGGTTGGTAATAAAGGTAAGCATCGCATAAGCAGTAACGAGCGAAATAGAAAATGAAAGCAAAATTTTATACCTTGATAATATTCAAGCAGACGTAAAAATACACCAACCATAGCATTACGTTCTATATTTTTTGTATCACGTTTTTCGAGATATATATCAGCCTCGTCAAGTAGGAGGACAGCCCTCCATTTGTGAGCGATATCTAGGACCTTAGTCAGATTTTCTTCTAGTCTGTTTAAAGAGATGAAGGTAACATATTAACAAGAATGGTAAAAAAGATTCCCTTGACATAATATTTTAGATCGTCAGATAGGGTGAAATTTTGATGACGATACTGGGAGCTGTAGTACTTTCCTACCAAATATAACAATCATTTTACACTTAAACAAAGTTTTACTTACTCTTTAGCTTTGGTTCCGAGTTCGTGTATAGTAAGATTCCATAGCGGTCGTCTTAGAAATTCAGCCACGCATTCAGCTGTCAATGTTTTTCCAGTGCCAGGTGGCCCATAACATAGAAAGATGCATCCATTACCTTTATTGGATATAGGATCGAGCGTTTTTTCCAATTGAATGTTTGTTTTTAGTTCACCGTATTGTCTCACTAACCCTGTAAGCATGTCTTTTTTATTCTGGGATATTACTAAATGGTCAATGGCATCCGCATCAAAACAAATATCTGAAAACTTTGAGACTTCGAATAGTCCCCACTCTTTTAGAGCAAAGCTAAACCCATACACCACTGCAGGTGCGAGAAAATAATTATCTTCCAGAGGGATTTCATCATTTTCAAGGTAAACACCCTTTTCACAGTACAATTCAACATCACCTTTGTTTGGCGGTTTAGCATTACCCATTTCATACTGAGGATTCATGGTTGCAAAACTTCGGAGATCAATCATGACACGACCATCAGCTCTTAATTTCTCTATTTGCATACAACCATCTATTACGCGTCTGCGCATTAACGAACCCTCGTATTGCATAAATCGATTCCCTAATGCAAGCTCAAAAAATCGACCTCCATTTTTAATAATTGATTCCTTGAGGAAATCGTAAGCATTAGAAAATTTAAATGGAACAACAGGTAAATCAGAGAAGCTCCTT